AGCAGCAGTTCTACTTGGAGCTTAACTCGTTTTAGCTACTTTTGGGATAAAAAAGTTGAGACAGTTGAGACTTAGACAAACTGGTAAATAAAGAGCTTTGTCTTCGGATTGAGCTGCCTCTTCAAGGACACAACAGGTTTGTACAACAGCCACTACACTTCCAACGCTGCATCAGTCTGTCTGCCAATCATAAAGAAGACACCAAGAAGACAAGCACTCCTTCACTTGGGGCAGAAAATCACTTTCAACCCAGAGTGAGAAATCCAGTTTTTCAGTAGAGTGCCATTGCCTCAGACTTATTCCTAACTGCTTTATACTGCAAACCATGCCAGTCTACTCTAGAGGTCACAGGTCAATGAAGGAGATAGAACCATATCATCTGCAAAAAGACTTTTTACTGATAGGTAAAGAAACTGAAATATATGTTTTTTCCAAGCATGTAGGAGACACTACAGTGGCCGCAAAACTCATGAAAAGTGCCACAGGTCCTATCTAGAACCAGTGTTTGGTTTGTCCATTTTGGGCTACTGTGGAAACATGGCGGTTCAACACGGCCGACTTTGCGGAAATGGACCCACTCCCTCTGTAGATACAAAGGGCTCATTCTAAGGTGATTATACACTAATGAAAACATGCTTATGAATATTATCCTCCCATTTCTGCTAATATACACTGGGCCTTTAAGAGAAATTAGGGATTGTATGACTCAGAAATTGCTCACCAGAAGTAGCCAAATGATTTTATCACATCAATTGATAGATTATACATGAAACAGATGGCTGGGCTCTGCTGGACTGACAGGTGTCGTGAAATGTTACTTTCATGTTCTGTTTTTGGAGACAGACATAAGCAGATGGTGCAGATAAATAAACTGATATGTGTTCAGCTGGAATTTGTCTGTATGACTGTTCTCATGCAGCGTCAGCTTCTGCCTGAGCTGTTTTGGAGGAAAGTAATGCATTGTGTTAGTCATGCAGCTTTAGTAAACAAATCATTCCTTTGTGGATATAACAGAGTCACCACATGGACAGCATCCCAAAGGGTAGGGCACTCCAAACATACTGATGGTCTCATTTTTCTTCAGCTATTACGTTACAGTGCTTTAAAAATGTATCCCATTGGAATGTATTTTTTAAACATTATTATGGTGGATAGATGATCATGTATGCATGCATTAAGTGTACATGATCACAGACTAAACAGTAGATTCCCAAAATATAGTCTATATAACAAATGTACAATATATATTTCACTTTTTTAGCATATTATATTAAACCTGTTTCCCTTTAGTCAGAGCAGTTAAGAAAATGCATACATCAACTGACAGGAAGTTAGTTGGTGGTGGTGAACTATTTGGGCAGATTGTAACCCAATCTTTTCCACAAACGTAGACAAAACAATTCAGCTGACAAAACAGATTGTGTATTTGCCAAGTCTAAATTTTGACATAACGGACATGATGCACAACATGTAAATAACACCAGAACAGACAGCAGATTGCTTCTCTCACCTTATTGCCATGAGGGAGTGGGTACAGATCTGTTTTATTTTTAAGGGAAGGGATACCTGTTAGTAACTGTCAACTTTTTAAACTTTTCTGAAATTGTGCTTCTTACAAGCCAATTAGCTACAGGGGTGGTAAAGCACATGGACTCTATATTTGCACGGCATGGGATACCACAAACAGTTGTCACAGATGGACCTCAGCTTGCTTTTCTTGAATTCCCAGTTTGCAAGGCAATGTGAGTTCAACCATGTAACGTGTCCACACTTCCCCCAGGCCAAAAAGTCCAAAAACTGTTAATATTAACTTTCATTTTCATTTTTTATATTGTAGTATAAATATTGTCAGCTACTGTTGCTATGGTGTCTATCATTAGAGATTGTGGAATTTATTTTCACAGCAGAAATTTACTGTTTATTTTGCCTTTTGGTGAAACCCCAAGTCGGGACTGCATGTATGGACAAAGAAAACCACTGCATGTCAGTCTGTGAAAGCATCCTACATACTTTATGTTCTGCATTATTTGCCTTTTTGTGTATAATTGCTTCTTCCAGCGCTGCTGTTGCTACATTATTTCCTTACTCTTTTATCTTGATAGTAGTCTTCAAAGGCCAGTGTGTTTGCATGCGTTATGTGTTTCACCTGTGGGACTTCAGTTTGACAGCCTTGGTTCAATTTGAAAAACAATGCAACAAACCAACCTATTCCACTCCAGCACATATAAAAGAACATTAACTATGATCACAGCCATGGCCCGTTAACTCCATTCCCCACAGACTGAATTATTAGTAGCTAAAGGCTAAAAGGTGGAGCTAAACCTGCGGGTAATAAAATATTTCTTTAAAGCTCTCAAGACTGCAAGGTGGCTCTTGGGTTCCAGGGTTTTGAAACCAGCAGTGAAATGTAGTCTCTCATCCTGGGATAAGGTCTCATAAAAAAATAATGTTACTGCTCAGGCATGGCCCTGCTCGTCATTCTGAAGTCTGAGCTAAAAGTTAAAAGGTGCTTTCTATACTTCACACCGGCTTTCCATCTCAGGCTCTTACTTGTTTAATGTTATTAAATTGTGAAATTTTAGCTTGGCTCATTTGCTCTTTCACAACAGTGTGTAAATTAAACAGGAGGTCAAACAAACACATAAAATAAAAGACAGTGGTGGAAGTATTCAGATTCTTTACCAATACTACACTATAAAAAATACTCTGAAAAAATCTGAAAAAAGTATCAAAAATAAAACAGTCACAGGGGCCATTTTTGATGGCCTTTCAATGTGATTCTAGTATCATTAGGTTGGTTGGTAGAGGTGGAGCTAGTTTTAACAATTTTGCAGAGAGACTGTAACTAATGATTGTTTTCTATTTTCTTGAGCAATGCATTTCTATATTACTATGTCACAATTAATTAATCAGTGGTTTACTGCAATTTAAGATTAGGAAAAACAGCTTGTTTATGTGTTTCAAGAATGAAAGCTATATTTATTAAGAACATGAGGCATAATTTTGCTGTGATGATTTAAAAACATAGGTCACATTTAAACCTTTTTTTATATGCAGCAATAGCTCACACATCTCTATGTTTTATAATTTGAATTGCTCTAAACCATCACTAATGTTGTCCCATTCTCATAAAGTATTTAAGTATTAGAGGATTTCAGTGATAGGATAGGATTCAATTTAGCAAAACACTGTAGATAATTGTATTGCCAACCTTTAAATGGAGATATAAAACTTAGACTTGCCACCACCATGTTCTCCAATCTCGTGGGCTCCTTGTGCTTGATAGAGTGAGTACAAGTACCATTAGAGTCCTGGTGAATTGGTTGGAATTAAAAGAGATGTTTGTCACTGCCTGTGAAGTCAAGCATTTGCTTAGTTGAGCAAATTCAAGTAACCCAGTTAACTGGCATTATGACACTGGTAGCAGAGAACACAATGAGTAAAAAAAGGAAGGACACAAAACAACTAATGAAGCAGGTGGCAGACTGATGGAGAAGAAAAGGGGGAAAAAAAGCAGAGAGTAAATGTATAAGCAGGAAGAACTGCAGCTTTGCCAGCTGAGAAAAGAACCTGCAAAGGGCTATGCAAATGCCCGAGTCAGAGGCTGTCAAGAAATCCAAATTCAGCTCAAGCACGTGTCCGCACTCACCCTCTGTGGAGTCCTTACACGCTTTATTATTCATTTCCAGACATCACTTGTGGCTCCTGGCCATATTTTCAGAGAGCAGAGAGGGAAACATCCTTGAGAGGCATCAGGCAGCGAGACGGGGAGTAGTGTTAGCACTTCAGCTCACTCCAAAGGCGTTACCAATCCCTGCGGACAAGTAGAGCCCCACAGAGAAATGGATGGGATGCAAAATAGCATATGGCCAGGCACTATCATTCTAATTGCAGCTGTCTGTGAATGACGGGCTTCCGCGCAGGACACCAAATCCACCTTGTGCTGCTGAACGCTCTTGCATCTGCTTATCTTTCTCTGAGTGCAGAAGAACATTTCTGAACTTAATAAACTGGCCTCCCTCAATAAGCTACTACTCAAAGAAATAGCAAGAACAGCAGGAAAGAAAAATTAAACGTATCTCTGCAATTTATACACAGTCGCAAACCATCCCTCCTCAAATGTAAATTTACAGTACATCTGACTAAATGTAAAGTTACTGAGCAGGTGCCAGTCTGAGTTTATGTATATCCTTCCCTCTGTTTTGTTGTATTCCTGTTTTGTTGCTTCCAGTATTGAGCTGTTGTAATGTGGTGGTGGTAGTTTGGGAGGTTATTACACTATTTCAAAGACCATATCAGTGGTTGGGCATATTTCAACCCAAAAAACAGTACAGCTTGCATTTGAAAATATGGAAATGATGGAAATAACGGTGGGGAAAATGCAATAGTCCAAAACAACCCTGTGTCTCTATTTCTATCCTCAAAAGATTAAATGTATTAACTGAAACATATATCATGTTTCTCACATCTAGTTTTCTTATTTTGGCATTACTGACTTATCTTCATCGTTTTAGTTGTTGTAAATCAGTGCAATGAAAGTCCTGTCAATCAATTTGACAGCAATACGGTTACCATGATGTTTTTGTGCCTCAACCTAACCAAATCTTAGCCTGGATAATGGTTTGCGTGTTGTCCTACCAATAGGAGTATCAAGTCAGAAAACATTTAAATGGTTCATCACCCGTTTTTTGGATTATAGAACACCTTTACTGTGAAGGTGGTATTTATTTTCAACTGCAGTCAGCATTGAGGACAAAAAAAACCTAAAGATTGCCAAGGTGTCAATTTTTTTTATCAACTAGCGGTTTGGGCCTCCAGTGGTAATGTCAATAAAGACTATTTTGCTATCTTGCCTTAACAAGTAAGATTTAAGATCAGATTTACTTTTTAATCCCCTATTAAAGAAATTATTCTTTTCACTCTTTTTTTATTTTCTTATACACACACAGGCTGAAATGCACACTCATGCACATGTAGGGCTTGTGGAGAGATGGTGGAGTGATGGGCTGCCACGTAAGCAGGGCCCCATGAGCAGAAATCATGCAGTCAAGATTCCCACATTTGGGGAATTTGCAGAGGTCAGCTCAACCAGAGCGCAATGGCTGAGCCTCGCCCTGGCTGAACCACCTTCTTGATCATGGTATCTCCCCTGCCAGGTAAGTAGTAAATAGTAAATAACATAATCATCCTGCCAACATCCGAAGCTGTGATGGTGCTTATATGTTGTATGTTGATTTACAACAGTCTGTACCACTGCGTCAATTCTCGCTCTGGCATAGAGACCAGGTTACCTTTACATTACTCTAGAAATACCATGAGTAATTTTAACTTTATGTTGGTGGTTGGTCAGAGAGAGAGAGTATCCATGATCTTATAAATGAACATGAAACAGGTAATGTTAGTTTTTTTTAAGGTCAGGACTACAGGATTTAAGGTTTGTTCTTATTCGGATTTACCTCTGACTTTACTCCCAAGTACAGACAACATCCTCGACAACAGGCAGTAAACGTCAGCTGGCCAACACTCCACAAATAAGTTGACAACAAGGCATTGCTGTAAAAACTGCTTTAATTCCTGTTTTTATGGCAGTGAAGATATCACACAGGCTTAACGATTTAGCAACTGAAGAGCTTCCAGACGCCGGCTCTAATTCAATTTCTTTTCCTGCTCATTAACTTATAGTCCAGTCATTAGTTAAAGGCAGTGCTGTTTGGATTGGCTCAGCATTTTGGGTAAATTAAGAGCAGGATGTGTTGTCAGGCTGATGTACCCTGAGATCAGTGGATACAATTCTCCAAGGTAACTTGAGTTTGTCAAGAAGCTGCCAGACATGTTTTTGCTCTGTTTACAACAATTTACAAAGACGTTAAAGAGAAATGTTGAGTTTGTGTTTGCCCTGAGTAACAGCAGTAACTCCCATCTGTTTTGCTTAAAAGGAAGCTGGCTATATATTTAAGTAATTCTGGTTTATTAAGTATTGATTACTCCTCTTTAATTTCTTGCTGCTTTAAACTTTTAGTGACAATCTACAAAGAAACTCAGTGACTCACTAAAATTAAAATGTCCCTATATGCTCTCTTTTTTTTCCAAGGGACTCCATATTCTTCTAAGATAAATGAAGGTCAACTTTTAAGGCACTTTTTGGCACTTTCATAACATCTACAAGTTTTGGAAAGACTTTCTCACCATTAATTCATTTATCCTTCCTTACTATGGCCTTATTGCCAAAATTATTTATAATTTCTGACAGTGAGAGAGGGAAGCTGCTCCTGGCAGGGGGAGAACAGGAAGAACGCCAGGGAGTAAAGTTATATCTTTAATTAATTAACATGGACAATGTTATCTTTCTGACTTCAATGGAAGTTTTTTCAGCCAGAAGGCCCTAGACAAATATAATATTAGCTCAGGAGGAGGAGGCTGAAATCACTGGAGGTCACAGCCAGCAGATAACCACTCATGGTGATGTAAGATGCAAACTAGAGAATAGAGTATTAAAGTAATAACTAAAGAGGAAACATGCAGACAGACTCAGGACAGAATTGTATTGTGTATGATGTGTTCTGAGGATTTTGTGGATCCTAGCCAAATCAGGAACTTGGGATAAAAGGACGGTTTTAAAGGATTAGTTCTTTTTTTGTTTTGTTTTTTTAAGTAGGGACTGTATGATGTGCTATAATTAGTGTATTAGCTGAATTAGACTTAAGGTTAGTGTGACCCCAGTTTGGGGAACTAGACGGGAGTCTCGGCAGGAAAGAATAGAAAAGCACTGCTGAATACAGGGTCAAAAATGTATTTTATTCAGTTTAATTGTACGTTGCATTATTGTATTGTTGTATTTGTTTTCTCTTCGATAAGCTTTTTTTACAACATGGGTTTTATTTTCATAGCACAGGCCCTTGGCTGCATTAGTTCTGAATAAATTGTTCTCACCATTGCTAATAATAGGTCAACTAGGACAAGAAACACAAGCAGTCAGACAATCAACAAGGGCAAAACAGTAAAATGACTGTATTGTATTATTCAAATGGCCTGCTATAACAATTTGTTACAATTTAAACAAAAAATTCCTGGTTTGACTCACTGCACTAACCATAGTCATGTGCATGTGGTTTCCACATGCAGTGATTATCGTGCAATCATTATGGGTGCACCTGCAGGTTTATGAAGCCTAAAATCAAAAATAAATGATGAACCTTGTATGGACCGAATATTCGTCACTGCGTGGCTGGCTAGCCTTCACAATGTGACTGTGTGAACAGTGGAACAGATTCCTATCTATAGACTCTATACACTCACACACAAAAACAAACCTATTTCAGGCAGAAATACGTGGGAATAGAAAATGTAGCAACTTTTCTAAACTCAAAACAACACACACATTGTTCTATTATGAAGTAGGTGTTTGATTATACTCTAATGGCACACCATGGGATAAAGCAGCCTTTAAGCTGCCTCAAGGCCTGAATCTAAACTTATCTGTCTGCCCTCCCACATACAACTGCTAATATACTGTCTCTGTAGAACATAAAGAGACTAATTACATATAACTGTATTCTTGTAATTATTCACTGTACAGAAAATCCGTCAGTCTGTCAAGGTGTCTTGCACGACTAACTGGGTGTCTGCACAAAAGCTATTACTCCTTTTTAGTTTCATTAATTTCTTGAAGCCAGTAGAGAAAATAATTCTATGCAGTGTGCCCTGGGAGGTGAAATGTGAGCTTTTGGATCAGAAAACAGTATGTAAAGTTTTAGGTTGCATAACAGAGGATGTAGCCTGAGGAAGTTGAAAACAATGGATTTCATATGAAACTACAGATTATGGAGAAATAAACTCCACCGTACCATTCCGTGTGCCAGTTTTATGTTGATGTGAGTGTTTATATTCGGTTGGTCAGTAAGCGTGTCGACCACCTCATGCTGATGCCATTTACTGTTACACTGCAAAGTGGCAAAGGTTGACAGCTCCATAAGCGTTTATTAGGAACACATAATGGTAATGACCATTGACATCAGCTGTCATATATGGTGTGCATCTACATCTCGGGCAATAACAACATAATTATACGCCTGAGGGGCAAATGAAATTAAATGCTTAGTAGCGTGTCTTTGAAATAACAACCAAGGCTGTAAAACTGCAGTCTAAATATGGAGAATGAGTGACTCTAATGATGATTCAGTGGACAATTTGTTTACAGTTGAATTTCATACCATAGTGAAATTAAGTGAAATCAGTTGTTGCTTAGATTTAAAACACATGCTGCAGAAATAGCCATTAGCAATTAGTGCTAAGAGAGATAAAATGCAAAAACACTGGTATGCTCCTTTAAATGTTTCCCGTTTTAATGAATTGGTCATTATAAACATGTAACTCAACACCTGTTGACCATGTCACCAGAATGGAATAAAAAACATATTTTTCACAATTTGTTCACCAATAACGTAAACTATAAAACACACTGAATATAATAATACATCTCATTATGTATTAGTTGAATTGATTGCATTAGTTTTAAAATTAGATTGTATTTATATTGAACTCCCAGTGACGATGACAGCAATTGTGTCACCAGTTTAGTTCTTTCCATCAAGTGGAGCTGTCAGAAACCTACTACAAGTGGGTTTGCAATGGGTGCAATATGATTCAAATGTGGCATTATGAAGCTTTATGATCTGCATCACTGGGACAAAAAATAAATAAAAATGCTTAGAGAACTGATGCACCTGAGGTTAGTCCTTCAGTGTAACATCAGGTACAGGTTCTGACCCTCAAGAATTCCGTACACCAGACTCAAAAGAGTAACATAAAAAAAATAAAAAATTAAGACATTTATTTCCTTGCTTTGCTTTTAAAAATGTTGAAAGGATATTTATAGATATAGAGCTTGAAGATTTTTTTTCTGCGTGTGTTTTTTAGTTTTCCTTGTCAAAAAGTTCACCAACTCTGCACAAAGCATCAAGTGAGCAATGGTTGCCATGGAAGCAAACAAAAAATCTTTTACATGTTTTCATAAAAGGCAAATTTAAATTTCCAAGCTGACTCCATTCTGTTGATTGTACAGAGCTCTCAATAGTATAAATTAATATGCACATGGTGAACCTTAAACAAAGTGATATCGCTAGCCATATGTTGGGCTTTTACTGTGAAATCCTTTGTGATAAGGCCTGCAGGTAAGACCTTAACCAGAAACTCCATGACCAAAATAAATGGAGCTAAGCTTTTTAAGACATCTCCAGCTTGGACAGTGATGGTGGCCTGAAGGCTCCTGAGCCAACCTGAAAAATCCTGACCAGGAAAATGAATCAGTAACGCTTTTCCTTCCCTTAACAACAATTATGGAGGTTCTGAAAACTGTCTACCAAAGTTTAATCTACTTACTGTGCTTGTACAGCTCCCAGGTGTGGCCCCATATATTTGATCAAATGAAAAACAGAAGTGTGTCAAAAAGAGCAAAAACATCTGCAATAAAAATGCAGGTTGTGTTATCCACTTGTGAAGGAAGTCAGTGAAACAGTGTTGTTTTGGGTTGCAAATTAGCTCTGAAACCAACCGAGCTGATTCGACAGCTGACAGTCTCGAAAGAGCAGAGCAAGCAAGCTGTGTTACTGTTTTATGGGCTGTGAACTCACTATTGTGTGTGTGTTTTTGCATGTGTGTGTACGTGTCAGTTTTCTTTTAACAGAATTTGTTGATCTTTTTTCACAGCCAACTCACACCCTGCCCCATAATTAATAGAGCACTGGCAGCATCTCCTCATATGCACCGACTGTGTGCTCGGCTTCCTCCGATGTCAAGAGCCAAGAACGGGATTCAAAAATAACAGGGGAGTTTGAAAAAGGCAGAAAAATATGGTTGGAGATAGATTCTCACCAAACTTGATAAATAAAAAACAGAGAAAGAAAAAAGATAAAGCACTTGTGTAAAAAGCGCTTGCATTTCTGAGAAGCATTTACAGTATATAGATTAATATAAGTCAAACTTTTACACTTTGTACTATCAATCCAATCTGAGGGCAGCAGATTGTTTTCGCACTTTAATCTCTGTGGGTGGAAACATTCAACCTTTTTGGCACAGCAAGTGATGTTATAACACTACAATTTTATTGATCCCCATGTAGCGATCAGTATTTTTACCCGTTGGGTGAACACTCCCACACTAGCAATT